TGTCTCCACAAGTCTTCATTCAAATGCTACCAGAGAATCCACACAGACATCTTTTGGATACTAGATACTCACGTTTCAAATGGTGTTCCACAGTGACTATAGAATAGAATAAAATAAACTGTATTGTCCCTGAGGGGAAATGTGTCTTGTGCACAGTGCTACAAACTGTTGCTTCACAGAAACAAACACATGTGGTATATTAAGTAGCGATGATGTGAATATGTGTTGAAGAGAAGTCCGCTGACACCATCTTGATGTATATAAAGGTTTATTACAAAAAGGTACAGCATCATTTCAAGCCCCGGGAGCTTGGAGAGCATCCTGCCAAATGAACAGCTCTGTCTATATGCGTCGAACATAGGCTTTATATAGGCCTATTGTTTTTTTAAGAAAATAGTAAAGAAACATCTGGTTCTAGTACAGATATGTGAGGTAAAACAGGGAGATGGAAGATTTATTAAGATAAAGGTCAGAGGCCATTGAGAGGCCCCTAGCCTAAACCTTTCATAGTAAGAATTACAACGTTAAACCTCATGTCCCACTAACACTGCATATGTTGACAAAAATATCACTTGAACAAACTGTAACTTAAATTTATAGGCCTTCGGACACCACACACACATCAGAAACCCATCACAAAATCAACATGAAACATCATCAAATATTAACAACACTATACATTTTAACACTGACAATAATGCAGCGTAAAAAAGAGAACTGAAGTATTATGGTGCTGGTTTGTTTATTACACATTGTCCATTTTGCTAATAACTCGTGAACTTGAGTCGACTTGGACCCACTGACTCCCATTATAACCACATATTTTTGATATATTGTAATCCTGACATATTATAATGCTTTTCCCATGAATACCTAATAAATGTAAGCCACTACATTCCCAATATAGGGAAAACAGGTTTTAGGTGTGATGACCCCCCAAACCACCAGCGGCAGCAGAGCTTCATCACATAAAGATTCAATGGAGGATTCGTTCTCTTACCTTGCAAAATGCATGGCAATAAGAAAGCTTAACGCCATAAAAATGGTAATTCATTCATACACATTCACGCACTGATGCACAGCATCGGGAGCAATTCAGGGTTCAGTATCTTGCTCAAGGATACTTAGATATGTAGTGGGAGGAGCCAGGGGAACGAACCAAAAACCTTCTGATTAGTGGACAACCCGCTCTGCATCTGAGTCACAGCCTTGTCTGGCTGGTCATTTCTCCAGCAGACAGCCATGAAGAGAAGCCTGGAACTGGAGGAGGCTCTTGTGGCAGTCTTTCAGTCCTCTGAGGAGAGTGAGCAGTATGTTACTGAGGTGGATGTTACCAGCAGTGAGGATTCATCTGAGAGCCAGGAGGGATCAGGGGAGGAATTCCTGCCAGGTACAGAGGGGCCCTGCAGCTCGGGAGGAGTAAGATGAGGAGGAGGAAGAAGAGGAAGAGGCAATGGAGGATGACACCTCTCCATGGAGATCAAGAAATGGGGAGATCCTGTGGTCTCTCACACATGAAGAGTCCCTGCCATTTGCCCAGAGGACCGTCTGCAGCCAGCCTGGTCCTACAAGCCCGGGCCAGGTCCACAGTCAGGAGGAGGAAGAGGAGGAGGAGGAGTCACAGCCAGGGCCATCCAGAAAACAGAGGCAGTAAGCGTCTTGTGCCCACAGCGCAGAAGGCTGTGGAACCAAAATATAAAAATATAATGAACATTATAAAACATTATATCTATGGTTAGGTCTGAAGTTGTTGAAAAGATTTGATTCGGTGAAAGTGAAAACAAATATATATATATTACATTTTTATTACACTTTTATGAAGGACCATTTTGGGACCTCAGGTTAAAAAGTGTATCTTAATTTTAAAAGGTGCCTCAACTCAGTGATGGGAGTTGTACCATTTTACTCCTTGATTTAAGAGCCATATTTGACACGTCATATAAACAATATTTATTACTTATATATATTTATATAACAAATAACGTGGCACTAACTCCAGTGGTTTCCATTGCTCTCTGGTAGACTGTAAACTGTGTTTCTATGTTGGCTGTGCCACAAGGTTTCATTTTAGGCTGTTATTTTCCTTTATTCTCCTGCTAGTTAATGATTATTCTATATCTGGCACACGGTTGGGACAACGTGTCAGCAGGACCCAGCAGGTTGATCCAAGCATGCCTATTAAACCCTGTCCCTCCCGCTCTCTTTTGCAGTGCTTGTATACTAATCCTGTGCTGGAATAAGACCTGGGCCCATACTTGCTGTGTGGTAGTTTGATTAACCCTCGTATTGTCTTCCCGTTTACTATGCACCTTTTGTCCTCCCGGGTCAAATTGACCCGATCTGTTTTGATTGATTATAAAGCATGAGGTATAAAATGATCACCAATTTTTTTGTTTTACCTTTCTAGTGAACTTGTTTCTAACACGTTAACATATATTTTACACTTATTTTTGTAATTGTAATTTGTAATTTGTAATTATTTTCACGATGGTTATGATCAGAGGCACATATGTTGATGCATTATCACAGACTGGTATATGCCAAAGTTTAGTCAGGATATTGTTTTGAAACCATTTAAATTTTTTTAATGGTAGCAAATAGTATAATACCTGTTGTCCTCCCAGGTCAAATTGACCCATCTAGTTCGACTGTTTATAAACCATAAAGTGTAAAATGATCACACCATTCTGTGTTCCATATTTTTAGCCAACTTCATTCCAACTAATTACCGCAAATTTTAAACTCCTTTTACACCTCTATTTATGGACAATAAACCTAATTTACATGAAATTATACCATGTTTTTGAACAAAATAAGCAGAAAGGCATATCAAGGATGTCAGAGTCAGTTGAGTCTAAGGGCAACTGGATGTGGTGTAGTTCCTTGAAGATGTACCTGTCATGGCTCTGCTCCCCTCCTGCTCCCTTTGCTCCTCCTCCTTCCCTGTGTGTCTGATGAGGGTGCGGCCTCCATTCTCCTCACCTGCTGTCTGCTGTCTCACCTGCTCTTGTAACGGGCGTGCATTGTCTTTAACAGTTTCATATCAGATTGGATGCACGTCCATTAACCCTTGTATATTCTACGTTGTGTTCTATGTTGTGCTGAATGAAGAAAGGACCCGGACCACGACCAGCTGCTGGTTGCTCTTTTAATGAAGGCAGGATGGTAGATTTGTCTCCTCTCAGCTAGTCTGGCGCGGACTGCACATACATACATGACTGATAAAACTTTTAGTATTAACAGCAAAAATACTTTTAAATAAAAATGTGAAAATGAATTAAATAAATTATAAAATGCTCAATGTATTTGATAACATGAATTTCTTTTACATGCTTAATGCAACCAGTGTAAACACATGTAAACACTATACCAGACGAATTATAATGAACATAATGCACATACCTGTACATTAATTAAAACATTACCTCCTCTCAGCTAGTCTGGCGCGGACTGAGAGAAGCACCTGAATGACGGCACAAGGCCTGCGACCTCTTAAAGTGACAGTACAGGTATTAACACCTTGGTCTGAATACAACATTTAAGCATGAATATAGGCTTAAATTTAGCTAAAGATTCAAAATTAGTTGGCTCATTATTGACATGTGGGCTTGTGGTCCAAATAGCATTTTTTTCTGATCAATAGCACATTTTTCACCAATGAGGAGAGAGCTAGGCCCGCTTCCAGAACCAAATGACTTCAGGTGCATCTCAAATTAGTGGTGGTACCCTAGTAGTTACAGTGCGAGCTGCCAACAGCTATTAAAGTAGAATAGTGTATGATGATCCAGAGTTGGGTCCCAGATAAACAGATTATGCTGAACACAGACGAATAAAGTTGTAGACAGCAGTAAGTTAAACAGGGTGTCAGTCATTTTCAGCAACAGTTTGCTTTACGAGTCAGAAGGACACCCATACCCTCAAACTCCAGTCCTCAGAGGAATCATGGCTAAATACTGTGACCAGTGCAGTGCAAACACAGTTGTATATCATTAATTACTAAACTATGTGACCATGTATGAGGTGGGATACATTAGAATTCCAAATAAAACAGTCTTTGTTATAATCATATTATCAATCAGTTTATATATTATTATATTAACTATTTATGGGAAAATCATACTTCATTTGTCATTGGCTGCAGATTCGTGGTGAGGTGTGTTCATGTTGTGACTCTCTGAATCATCCAGACATTTCCTGAGACGAAGATTTCTATTTGTTGAGCTGTTGCTATCATGTTTAACTGATTAGCTCAGTTGTTTCAGAGCTATGAGACCAGTGATGTGACAAGCTGAGAGAGTATTTATTAATCACCACACCCGCTGACCTTTATTAATCTTCATCCAACTCTTTTGCTGATTGAGCTGCTGGTGAGCATGAAGATGCCCACGCAGTCCATGTGCCAGACCACCTTATGCTTGGCATTAATATGCAATTTGAACGGAAAGTGCAAAATATTAAACTGAGGGTGCAATGCATGTGTTTGCATCTCCGAAGAACTAAACTAAAAAGAAATGGAGGGAAAACTTGTTTTGGCCATGTCTGTCTCCCTGAGCTTTATGATATTTCAGACAGAAACTATAATAACAGAGACAGTGAACTCTCTGTTAACAAGTGCTTCATCCCAGCACTCCACAGAACCCTGTCCACACTTTTCTGTCTGAAAGAATGTTATATGTACACACACCTACAGTTCATTAGAAAACTCTCAAGAAACCCTTGAAAAAGATTATACACATTAGCAAACACTGGTGCACACATAACATTCAAATAAAGTGAAAAAAATGGAACATGTCAGTGTGTAATAATAATGCCATGTTAACATTTTGTGTAATTGTGTACATTTCAGGTGAGCAAGCTTGCTGCCTTTGGCTACAACCCAATGTTGTTCATCAGGAAGAAGAAGAAGAGGGTGAACACAGTAAATGCTGAAATGATCACCTACATGTGCCCTGGAGGGGACGGGCCTGTAAAACCCTTTTTAGAAAAGATGAGCAGGGAATATGAGTACATTATTAAAAGTAAGGCAAACATCTGTTTTTATGATTTATGCTTTGGGATGTGCTGTCATTGTGAGTAATATTTATATTTATATTTTTTCAGATTCTCAAAGGATGCAATTGCCAGAAGCTCCCAGCCCATCTCCAACTCCACAGTCTACCTGCTCTCCCTCCCAACCCTCTTCTCCTCCTCATCCTCCAGACTCTTCCACCTTTCTCCCATCTACTTCTCATCCCCAAATGGACTATGAGGAGGAGACTTACACCCTAACCCTCGTCCCTGTCCGGCCTCCAAGCACCGCCTCAGCATCTCCCTCTCAAAAAACCATGACTGAAAGTGAGTGTTAGCATTAATCACCTTCTGCCATATTTTAAGTAATGTGTCTAAAGTCATCCACCTTTGTCACAGGTGTGTCTGCACAGTGCTCCTGCTCTCCCACACCTACTCTCTCCCTGACCAGTGCAACAGGTGAAGGGAAGAAAAAGAGGAAGAGAGGTATTTTTTGTTTTTGTGGTACAGCCTACTCATTAAATTTAATGTGCAATGCAATTCCTTGATAGCAGCATGATAATATTGTTTGTGTGCATGTAGACACAATGAACCAGACACATGGAAAGAGAGATTACAAACAGAAGACTTTTTGGAGAACAGTTTTTTTTCCCTAATCCCTGTTATTATCAGTAACAATAAAAAACATAAAGGATTACTCACTAACTTGTCCTCATCTACAGGTAGAAGATAAATTATTCATGAGATAAAACAAAAACTAATGTGGACACATATGAGACAAGATGGACACTTTTTCTCTTCCTCTATGCGTCAGCATTGTACAGCTCAACTCTACTCTATTCACTTTTGGGTCCTCGACTTCCTTTTCCACTGTAGATAGAACTTTGGATGGGACCCCCTCAATGTAGGCAGAGGTGATTGTCAGAGCAATGAAGTTGGGAAACAAGCTTTACTTTGGTCTTGAGAAGCTGCAGCCTTTCTTTATTGACAGACTCTAAGCTACACTGTACATTTACTGCCACACTGACAACACACTACGCACATAAACAGCTACGCTACTCATAACAGAGGATATGAAGCTATGTTCTGGACAAGTCTGGACTTTGTCAGTTGACCACAGCATGGTGTTGTGGGCTGCCATTTTTGAGTGAATAAAAAAAACTTAACTATTAATGATAGTTTGGCTTTTTAAAAATCTAGGCTTTATGCAGGACGTCAACTGTCGTGTGACTAATCAGTGGTTGGCAGTAATGTCACACCACCTTTTAGTATCAGCTCAGCTAGCTCGGAACCTTGACCAAGTTGTACCAGGTCCACAATAACAATCAAAGAACAGTGAATAGGTGAGATATCATGATCAAGAAGGTGGTTCAAACCCAGGGCGAAGCTCAGCCATTGCTTCGGTTGTGCTGACCCCTGTGAATTCTTGACAGTGGAAATGCAGCTGTATTCACCTGGGGGATGTCAAAGTCTGTTTCTACATTTATTCTCCTTCTTTCTTCTTTTCTTTTTTTTGCATAATTTTAGGCTGCTGAAAATGTTTGAAGCAAAAAATATTTCACTACAATGAAATAAAAGAAACAACTAAAGGAGGTAAGATGTAACTTAGAAATAGCAGTTCATTTAGCAGTGGTTGCTGGAATGGCTAACACTTCTTTTTGTCTGTGTGTGTGTGTGTGTGTGTGTGTGTGTGTGTGTGTGTGTGTGTGTGTGTGTGTGTGTGTGTGTGTGCGCAGGAAGAGAAGAGGTAAAAGTGAGCTGGCTGCCTTGTTCCTCATGGTAAGAGCTCAGAACTTTGACCCACATTAGCTGATTTTAAAGCTTTTTTTACGGTATGCTTTATAAATATATATGTACTTACTTCCACACTGGTTAGTAGCAGGCTTCTGAAAAACCGATCCTAAGTCATTTGTTGTTCTATGATACCCCATTGACATAAACTAATATTGTGGTATATGCAATGATCTTACACTTGTTTGCATTCAATCTTTTTTTTCAGTGGCAAAACTTGGGAAGACACCTGGGAGCCTGCCAGCAACTTTATAGGCTCCATTTAATGTTTTTGTTTGTGTGTCTTTAAGACAACTGTATGTTGAATGTTGATCTCTCTCTCTCTCTCTCTCTCTCTCTCTGCATGAATAAAAATAAAGATTTGTTCATTTGTTTTATTTCAGTTCAGTTTGTTTGCCTTTTTCATTACATTTTGAATGTTTCTTTCACACACTCATCCACATCTCCTTTAGTTTTTAATATGCAAGTCATATATACAATGTTATATCATAAGCAATGAAAAAATATACATAGGGATGTGTAAAAACATCAGTATGTACAGAATCAATGGAGCAGGAGTATATGCAGTCAGTGTTTGAGTGAAGAAGACTAATAAATATGTCCATGAATATTTGTTCATGTATGAACAGTGTTGTGCCATGTTAATTAAACTTAAATTATATTCATATTTAACATATTCATATTTCATATTTAATTATATTTAACGGCACTGGCAGTGGCTAAAGTAAACCAATGTGACACACATACAGGAAATTACTAAAACTGCTATGTCGTCCAATGGTTTGTATATTTGAATGTTTTTTCAATAATGATTTTAAGAAGAAATCTACAACAAACGCAGAGGAATAAAAATGAAACGCATTCATGATTGTGCTTATAAAATCCTGTGATTTGATGAATAAAATATGCTTCATCTATACAGAATATTAGATTATTGGCCGTTTGGGTTTTATAAAACTCTCCGTTTACAGATTCTAGCTGGTAGAATTTATCTGTTGTCTGTGGACAAGTAAAATATTAGCAGAGGTTCAGTTATAAGTATATAATAGATAATAAACATTATAATAAACATGAAACGTTTCTCTTCTGGCTTTATTTTGACAGTGCCACGGTCTCATATCAGCCGGTCCTCCGCTCAGCCAAACACAAAGGTTCCGGATTTAATATTAAATTACGAGCAAACTCTGAAATGTACGTTTTTTATTTTTAAGATCGTCATTGAGCAGTTACATAAAATAACACCAATAACATTACAGCTCCGATGCAATTATTAAAACAATATTCACGTGTTTCAGCGATAAGACACCCATAGCAACTGCATAGCAACCATAAACATAGAACAGACACCATAGAAGCCTGAAAACATCATAGGCATTCATTCAACAGAGATTATGGAAATAATGTACACATTTCCTGCTAGAAATGTTATCACAACGAATTCTAATGCCAAAAATATCTTAAAACGTTGTTTTTCCACTGAAAATAAAAGAAAATGCAGACACGTGACTGCTCTGCTCGATAACACACCTTCTGTACCTGCTGGGTTTGAATAGTATTGGATCAGCCAGGTGAATGGGTGATAACTGCCTCCTGCACCTACTAGTAGGTAGAGTAGGCCCCTACTGGCCCCTATCTGTGGGATGATTGTATCAGAATAACGCTTATTCAATGGTATGATAACAGTCAAATCGGGTGAATATATCCATTCAGATAGTATTTTTGCTTAAGTTGGGAGGTCGTATCAAAGTGTAGCTCTCTAGCTCAGTTTGTTTCATTTGTCAGAGAATATTGTTTGGTTTTTTTTTCTCAATATTGCACCCTGTTTGTCCTTTTCAAGAATCATTATTTTGATTTTAATGGAAAATCCGAGCCTACAAACACATATAAATCAGTCAACAGGCAACAGAGGAAGTCTGGGGACGGTCTCATTATATATATATATATTATATATCATACACTAAAACACTCTGAAAGGAGGTTTTCTACATGATGTGTACTTTTACTTTCAGAAACTAAAGTATGAACAGGAAGGCAATCCAAACATTAAAAGGTCACTTTGTTTGATGAGAGGTTTTGTAAAGTGCAACAGATGTTGATTATCTTCTGACAGGAGAGTCTTTACCAGTTTGTTGCAGCCACAAATGACATCCACACAGCAAACCCATTTAGACACAATAACAGCAGCACTGTAAAACTGTGTGGGGCTGTGTAATGAAAGGCTGCCCTCTGGTGGCCAGAGGAGAAAATACATAGTGCATCTCAAATGGATCACACACACACACACACACACACACACACACACACACACACACACACACACACACACACACACACAATGTTGAGAGATGATGGAGTGAAGGGCTAAGCGGTGCCTCAGGAGCAGTTAGGGGTTTGGTGCCTTGCTCTTTGTTGGATTGTGAGTTTACATGTTGACTGTTCTCATCTTCACTGATACCTTAAAGATTAACTGTATTTTCTCCTGTGACCACCAGAGGGCAGAATCTCATTAAACAACCGCAGTGGAGCAGTCATCCTCAACTAGAATGTGAAGACACAAGTGTTTCTATTTAGTTCAAATAACATTAATATAAAATCAGATATAAACCCCTTTCTTTGTAAATTTGCTTTTGTTGAAGAAATCCTAAAAAGGCCCAAATGAAATGTCTGCATGGTTTGCATGTTGGATGTAATTTGTGGAAAATATTATCCCAATAAAGAACACAAACAATTTCTTATTTTAAATAAACCTCAGGTCCTTTTCTTCATTCATAATCTCATGTGCAATCTAAGTTTAACATTTAGTGAAAGAGATGAACCATCTTGTTTTCAAGGGAGGATACAGTACATAAAACAACTAAACAACACAGATACACTCAAACATACACAGACAACAACTGGCCCAGGTCTAGCCACTCCCACACACACTGACCATACACATACAGTAAATGTACCCATCCCATACAAATCTATATAGACATGAGGTAAAATTAGCAGGTTGTTTGAAGCTCAGTCAAAATGGATGACTTATTGAATGAATAGATAATGAATTAGATAATAGATCAAATTGAAGTGAGCAGGTTGTTCCAATCAGATAGAGCTTTAAATTGTATTTAAACAAAGAGAAAGGGAAGCTCAGTGTATCTTAAACTACAGGATGTCCTATATGGAATTAAAAGTTTCAAGTAAGAAAGAAAGTTAAAGAAAATATATTTAGAAATTAAAGCTGCAAGCAGCAATGAACGGGCCCTCGCACTCCAAGCAACTTGGGGTGTGCTGCGGCCGCGTCACGTGCCGTCGTAACACGTGTGGACCGCAACATGAAACTTTCACGTAAATCAGATCAAAATCGCCACGCAGCGCTTACTTCCTGTTGCCACTAGGTGGTGCTCTCTTTATTACTGTATATTATCACAGACGTGTTCAGAGCGGGACTCTTATGAAACGTGAAGTTTCGTTGAGATCAGATCATGTATGCCACATTCATTACAGAATGTAATGAATAGCACAACTTTAAATGGTGAATGCCTTTAGATGGCTTTGTCCAAATCTGAAGTTGATCCGATCAATTCCCTAGGAGGAGTTACACATGCGTACCAATTTTCATACATGTGGGCCTTACGGGTCTTGGGGGCTGATTCTGGGGGGCGTGGCTTAGCCATTTGGCGGCGCTCGTGCACGGGTACAGTTGCATATGTGAATTTTTTGTCACATTTGAATTTTGTCCAAATTTCCCTGACTTTACGAGCATGTTGCGGCCAGCAAATATGCAGTCGAAGAGGCAGGAAAATAATAATTCCTTCCATTACAATAGGGCCTTCGCACGGTCAGTGCTCGGGCCCTAATAATAAATATTGCAACCAGTGAAAATGTCTTAAGGATTTTGGTCTTAACCAATTTAACTACTCACACATAAGACAGTGATAGGTTCTGTAAGGACACCTCAGAGACTATTAAAAACTACATTAAGTGGAACAAGATTTGTTTCTTTGGTATTCTGAGACAACATCTGCATAATTCAGAAACTGTGAAACAATTATTTCCCTGACCTGTAGGGTGAAACAGTTAATGGAGCAATATCACATTCTCAGGCAGCAGTTGGATTAAAACGAAGTTGACTATCAGGCCAGAGACCCAAATATTTCAATTCCTCCACTTTCTTAAGTGGTGTCCAATCTGCAAAATTATTCAACCTATTATTGATTGAAAGCAAAAAGTCTGATCTAGTGCCAAACAACACACTATAGGATTGTTAAGAGAAGGGTTAGGGGTTTTACCTTCATTTGACAAGACAGCTTGAGATTGACAGGAAAAGGGTGACTGATAAACTGCAGGATGAAGTGTTCCTTTAAAATTCTCCTTCATCTTAAGCTAAATAAACTATTTTAAAATGCTCTTGGATTAGCTGGAAAATGCATCGTCACAAAGCTGAAAACAGGCTGCGGTCCTCACAGGACAGCCAAGATACAGTTCAGTCATTTTAATGTATACTTAAATTTTAGAGAACTTAATACTTCAACTCCACTACATTTATTTCACTGCTGTAGTTATTTACTCATTCTATTGTGGTTTCTATAATAGTTTTTCATGTCATTGTCAGTTTTCCATTTTTGCCACTTGACTTGCAGCACTCGCTTTCATCCTTTTTTTAAAGTTTTTCATTCAATCTTTATTTTTAAGCAGCAATATATCAATGCAAATTCCTTGTATATGAAAACCAACTTGGCAATGAACGTGATTCTGATTCTGATACAGAGCAAAGCAGCAGGATGTGATGTTGCTCAACAAGAGCAGAAGTTGAAGTG